ACCTTGCTTCAAGCCTATTAGCTTACTCTATAGGGCACTTTATTGTAAGTAATATCCATACAGCAGAAAGTATAGGACAGCATGAAGAAACCATAAAGATGTTATGGCCATTTAAATTACCTGCACTGATTTCTAACTTTCAGGCTTTAGTTTACGGATTTATATTTAGTTTAATAATGTCTACAGTTCTACCGAAAAGAAGTAAGGAACTCGCACAAAAAATGCTGGATTTAACATCCTTTGTCTTTAAGAAATTTTTAGTACCTATTATACCGGTATTTGTGTTAGGGCTTACCCTAAAAATGGAACATGAGCAACTTCTACCCACAATAATTAAGAATTACTCAACTGTTTTTATAGCAATAGCATCCGCATCTTATTTTTACATTTTTCTGTTATATGGAGCAGCAAATTCATTCCAAATTAAAAATTGGATGGCCAGCATAGGAAACATGATGCCAGCTTTTATCACTGCAGTGAGCACAATGTCTAGCAATGCAACAATGCCTATCACTTTAGAAGGCAGCAAAAAAAATGTTAAACAACATGACATCGTGTCTTCTGTGATACCAATCACCGCTAGTTTTCACTTAGTAGGTGACTGTTTCTTTATTATTATATTATCCCTGATAATAAAATCTGGTTCCTTTTTATATACAATGGATTACGTTACATTTCTTCTTTACTTCTTACTATTTAAATTTGCAATTGTGGCAATCCCTGCGGGTGGAATAATGGTAATGCTGCCCATTCTAGAAAAATATCTTCAGTTTTCTCCAGAAATGCTTTCATTAATTACAGCATTATACATAGTGTTTGATCCTGTAATCACTTCAGCAAATGTAATGGGTAATGGTGCTTTTACTATGATATTTATAAAGTTTTATAATAAATTATGTCGATCTTAGCAATTAACACTGTAGGTACAGGCAGTTCAATAGCTATTGTTAATTATGACGGTAGTTACTTGATAGAACATAACTCTGAAGGCAATAGCCATGCAGAATCATTCTTTAGAATTTTGGATACTCTATTTGCAAAACACAATTATGATTATGATAAAATAGACCACTTAGCAGTAGTAGTAGGGCCAGGAAGCTTCACCGGTATTAGGGTAGGCATATCAGCTGCACAAGGTATGAGTCTTGCTACAGGCAAACCATTATACGGGGTAAGCACCCTAGAAGCTAAGGCATATGCAATATTTTCGTCACCTCACTACAATAAAGAAAACATTCAAAGCGTAATTGAGGACCACAAAGTATTTTATATACAACTATTTGACCATCACTTGTTGCCAATATCAAAACCCGAGGTATTAAATAAAGATAAACTAGATACACACGAAGATTGCCATTTTTCTGCTAGCCATGCGGGATTATTGGTTCTCCATAGACTAAAAAACAAACAAAAGTTAAATCCTGCAGAGGCTTTATATTTAAATGATCCGGACTATATTCGCTCTTAACTACCATGGAAATAAGCAACGTTACTTTTGATTACTTCAGCATTATCTCTAGGTAATTCTTTTATAAATCGAGAAATACGCATCGGTTGCCATTGATTGTTGATTTCTCTTCTATCTGCACATGAAATAATTAACTTTTCCTTCGCTCTCGTTATTCCCACGTACGCAAGTCTTCTCTCTTCTTCTAAAGCTCCGCCACTTCTATCTTCAAAGGACCTTTGGTGAGGAAACAGCCCCTCTTCCCAACCTGGTAAAAACACACATGAAAATTCTAATCCTTTTGCTGCATGAAGAGTCATAACATATACGGCATCATCATTACTCATATTATCCACATCCATAACTAAGCTAATATGTTCCAAGAAAATTGTTGCATTATCAAAACTTTTTAAAGATGAAATAAGCTCCTTTACATTCTCTATACGCGCTGCACCTGTTACACCCTCCTCTTCTAGCATTTCAATATATCCTGATTGATTTGCAAGAATTTCAACAAACTCAAAAAGTTTTTGGTTCTTTATTACCTCTCGCCAAAGCTCAATTTTACTCAAAAATCCATTTAGTGAAGACTTTATCCTTTCTGTTATTTGGTCTCCATTGACTAATATTTTTGCTGCTTCAAAAAAAGAAACTTTATGATCCTGAGCAATCACATATATTTTTTTGAGAGTTGTAGCTCCTATACTTCTTTTTGGCCGATTTATAATACGCTCAAAAGCAAGATCGTCATTATTGTTTACTACGAGTCTCAAATACGCAATTATATCTTTTACTTCCTGGCGTTCATAGAATTTCATACCACTTATAATCTTGTATGGTATTGAATATTTAATAAAATATTCTTCTAAAACTCTTGTTTGAAATGTGGCCCTCACCAATATTGCAATGTCACTAAATCTATAATGACTAAGTTTTAATATTTGCTCACTTATAAATCTTGCTTCAGCTTTGCTATCCCATAACCTTACCACGCCTACCTTTTCACCTTCAGCGTTAGTCGTCCATAATTTTTTTCCCAACCTAGTTTTATTATAATTAATAACATATGACGCAGTTGCAAGTATATGAGATGTTGACCTATAATTGCATTCGAGCTTGACAGTTTTCGCTCCTTTAAAGTCATCAGAAAATTTTAAAATATTCTCAACTTCTGCACCACGCCAACTGTATATCGATTGATCATCATCTCCAACACAACAGATATTTGAATGCTCCTTTGCAAGGTACTTAAGCCAAAGATATTGTATTGCATTTGTATCTTGATATTCATCTACCATGATGTACTTAAACTTGTTTTGGTAATAGGCCAAAATCTCATTATTTTGATTAAAAAGTTGCACGTTATATAACAACAAGTCACCAAAATCAACAGAATTAAGAAATTTTAATCTCTCCTGATATTGATGATAAACCTTCAATGCAACTACGTACACCGACTTAAATGATTGAATGTCTTCGACTTCAGATGGAAGCAAGCATTTTTCTTTCCACTGCTGAATAATATTTAAAACGGTACTATATTTTTCCGAAAAGCTTGTCTCACTAAGAATACTTTTTATCACCTGTAATTGATCATCAACACCGATAATTGTAAAGTTAGAGTTTAACCCTAAAACTTCTGCATGCTGACGTAGAATCTTTGCTGCAATTGCATGAAATGTTCCGAGCCATGGTATATTTACACCCGTCATTTCCATTACCCTTGATGCCATCTCACTTGCAGCTTTGTTCGTAAAAGTTACTGCCAATATTTGCTCAGGTGAGCAATAACCATTACTAATTATATGTGCTATTCTTGAAGTGATAGTCCTAGTTTTTCCTGTTCCTGCTCCGGCAAGTATTAAGATCGGTCCATCTACATTAGTAACAGCCGCCTGCTGTTCTGGATTTAACTGTGATAAGTAATCGCTCATTAGATATTACGCCACCTTTCAATGAGTTAACACTATGATAAGCATATTGTAAAGAATTTATTGCCACTTACACATTAAATCTAAAGTGCATTATGTCTCCATCCTGAACAATATAATCTCGGCCTTCAAAACGCATTTTCCCTGCTTCTTTGCAGGCCAATTCACTTCCATATTTGATATAATCTTCAAAACTTATCGTTTCTGCCTTTATGAAACCCTTCTCAAAGTCAGTGTGGATCACTCCTGCTGCTTGATCTGCGGTTGATCCTAGCTTTACTGGCCATGCCCGCGCTTCCTTTGGACCAACAGTAAAGAAAGTTATCATACTTAGAATCTCGTACATAATACGCGCTATTGAATCTAATCCTGACTCCTGTAAGCCAAATTCTTGTAGAAAACTCTTCCTCTCTTCTTCACCTTCAAGGTCTGCAATATCTGCTTCAAGCTTTGCTGAAATGCAGTAGAATTTACTTCCATTCTCTTCAGCCATTTTCTTTACTGTATCAGATAGTGCGTTACCACTTACCACATTCACATCTTCAACATTGCAAACATACATCACCGGTTTTGTGGTTAATAACTGCAACGATTTCATTTCATCTGGGCTCGCATTTTTGAATCCTCTCGCAGGTTTGCCTGATTTTAGCACAGCTAATATTTCCTGCACTAAATCCAATTGCTGTTTTAGCTCCTTATCTCCCTGCTTCGCCTTCTTTTCCATTTGAGGTAATCTTTTTTCTATACTATCAATATCAGCTAAAATCAGCTCCATCTCAACCACCTCAGCATCTAGTATTGGGTCGATTTTGTTGTGTACGTGGTTAATGTCTTCATCCACAAAACACCTTAACAGATGGACAATAGCGTCAACTTCCCTTATGTGACTCAAAAACTTATTGCCTAAACCTTCTCCCTTACTTGCACCTTTTACTAAACCTGCAATATCCACAAACTCTAGCTGATTGTAGATAACTTTCTCTGAACCAGCAAGTGACGCAATCTGCCTTAGGCGTTGATCTCTTATGGAAACCTTGCCTACATTTGGCTCTATTGTACAGAAAGGGTAATTTGCAGCTTCAGCCAAATTTGATTGCGTAAGTGCATTAAACAAGGTTGACTTCCCAACGTTAGGTAGCCCAACTATACCGCAGTTAAAACTCATATCCACTATATAAAAATATGATTATTGCACAGTTAAAGAATTTTTGCTATACTTAATTAATAATTTGTCAACGATTTTATTAATATAATAATATCTTTATTAAGGTAAAGTTATGACTAATACCCAGCAACTTCTGATGAATCTACGTAATAATGAAGATCCATATCCTAATACCTTTTATAAAGGCACAGCAATTGGTAATGGGAGTTGCTTTTTTGATTCATTCAGGCAAGGGCTGGAGCAACAAAAAGGCATAAAAGTTACTGTTGAACAGCTACGAGAAGAGTGTAGAGAATTTGTACTGCACAATCCTCCACAATGGTTTAAAGATGCAATTGCAAATAGCTATGATAATATGGGCAGAAAACGCAACGAAGCTATAGAGCAATACACGAGAAATATCCTAAATAATAATAGATGGGGTGATCCTGAAGTTGAAGGCAGGATACTTTGTGAAAAATATGGTGTGAAATTACACGTAATGGAAAAAAATCCGTTGCACTGTAATAACAATCAGCAAGACAAATTCTTGTGCCAATTAGTAGATAACAAAGGCTCAAAAAGCGTTGGTGTTGATAAAGTGAATTACAATGATAATAATACCATACATATAATAAACAATGGTGAGTTGCACTTCGAGCCGCTACTCAATAAAGAACGTAGAGAACGTGAGGATTTCCTATTGGCAAAAGATCTTCAAGCGAAAGAAATTTTTGAATATCTCGAAAGTAAAGGGAATGGTGCCACAGAAGAACAAGTTCAAAAAATATTTAACGAATTATTAGCAGAAAATCCGAACTGCAATGCTGTAGGAGAGTGTATAAAACATTTTGAAAATGCTAATACTCCAAATAATTGTGTACAAGATGCACGATCTTACAACAATCGCAAAAGAAAGCTAGATGATAGCCCAAGCACTTGCACGAAACGAGCAAGAATTGATCATGTTTTCCCTAGTTGTGAAAATATAGTTGCTGTTCATTAATACTCTTTATTATACATACTGAAACCCAAAAAAGTAGGTTTCAGTACTGCGATTGACCTTTCTTTTTATCTCTGTCAGTTCACTTGAACTTTAAGTACCTTCTGCTTAAGGTAAATACTTCCTGATTTTTAGATATTAATTTTAATATAGCCAATATGTTGATAAACAACAATGCAGAAATTGAAATATCTGCAATATCCCACAATAACTGAACTTTACTTATTGATCCAAGAGGAATAATCATAGTAAAAATCGCAATCCAAATTTTGACGTATATACTGCTATTAAATACATAACGTATAGACTGCTTTGCACAAAAAAACCAAGTAAATATGGTCGTAAATGCAAAACAAAACATGAGAGTCATAATGAAATAATTTATATAAAATGAATTTATAGCTTTTTTAAAGGCAAATATGCACATGTTGGTGCTTTCCAATCCAGTCATCCAAGAATCCGTTACAAGTAATACCATCGTTGTAACAAAAGCTATTATCACAACTATAAACGGTGATATTATAGTAATTAAGCTTTGCTCAATAACGAACTTAGTATTATTTTTCTTGGGAGTAATAGAAGAATGTATAGTTCCCTCAAGGCCAAGTCCAATATCTGTTGCAAAGATGCCTCGCAAAGTTCCCACCTGAATAATAGTTAATACTTCAAGAATCAATCCCAAGGATAAACCTGATTTTAAACTGCTCATTGTAAAGACACTACTTAAGATAAGATTGAGAGAAGGCAAGATATTTTCACTGAGTTTAAACAATATTACGCCACAGAACACAAGGTAACTTACTGTCATGATTGGTATCAAGGCCGATATAAAAACTTTAATCTTTTGTAAACTGAGTACTGTAACAATGAAAAAAATAACAGCCATTGCTATACCACCAATAATTACAGGCACATTTATCATTTCAAGTGGTATTGATATAGAGTTTACTTGCACAAGATTACCAACAGTTATTGCAGCTATAATCATGATAAATAGAAATATAGCCGTTGCTTTTTTAGAATTGAAAGCATCAGCCATATAAGCAACGGGTCCACCTATAAATCTTTTTTCTTTTTTTATTCGCTTACTAATGCTCAGATAACATGTAACATATTTTATTACCGAGGTAACAATAACGATTACAATCATCCATAAGATGAATCCAGGACCCCCTGTCTTTAAAGCAATTGCTGTGCCTGAAATATTTCCTACTCCTAAGTTTCCGCCTAAAATTAGAAATAGTGCAGCCAACGATGAAAATCTATTCTCACCCTTTTTAGGTTTTAATAGTGAAAATGCATATGGTAATCTAAATATTTGTAACCACTTTAGCTTTGCTGATAAGTAAACGCTAGTAATTAACATGAATATTACTGTTGGTAACAGCAACACAAGTTTTATTGTATCCATTTACGTAATGAACTTTCCACTAAATATATACGTAAAAATTCAAGGTGTCTAGGCTATTTCCCGTCGATTTTTAAAAATCTGATAGGCTAAAACTTAATGCAGCTTCAGCTTTTTTGCAATCATTATTGAAGTGAACTGAAAATCTGCTATAGTTTATTATTAATTGCACCCTTAGCTCAGTTGGATTAGAGCATTTGACTACGGATCAGAAGGTCGGGCGTTCGAGCCGCTCAGGGTGCATACACTTGAAATTGATATATGAAATACCTATCTTTAAATACATAATAGATTGTGACATATGAAAAAAGACTATTATGAGTTATTAGAAATAAACAGAAACGCCAGCATTGATGAGATAAAGAAGGCTTATAAAAAGCTAGCATTGAAATATCATCCAGATAGAAATCCTGGTAACAAAGAAGCAGAAGAAAAATTTAAAGAAATAACTGCTGCATATGAAGTTTTATCTGACCCTAATAAAAAGGCGGGGTATGATAGTTATGGTCATGAAGGGCCTTCTGCCGGCGGATTTGATTTTGGTTACGGTGCAAGTGATTTCAGTGATATATTTAATGACTTTTTTGGTGGAGGTTTTGGCAATAGTCGATCAAGAACCAAAAAGAGTGCGGCAACACCCGGAGCAGATCTACGTTATGACCTTGAAATTACTCTTGAGGATGCTTTTAAAGGAATGCAAACTCCTATACACTATGTTACAAATGTAAAGTGTGAAACCTGCCAGGGTACCGGAAGCGAAGGAGCTANCATGTGTAAAGGTAGTGGCAGAGTAAGGAGTCAGCAAGGTTTTTTTACCATAGAAAGAACATGTCATGTTTGTTATGGTGAAGGAGAAATAATACAAAACAAATGCAAAAAATGTGGTGGTAGTGGACGCAGGAGAGATGAAGTAAATATATCAGTTGCAATCCCAAAAGGTATTGAGGACGGCACTAAAGTTAAGGTAAATGGAAAAGGAGAAGCTGGAATACGAGGCGGCAAAAATGGCGATTTGTTCGTATGCGTGAACATAGCCTCACATAAAGTCTTTACTCGCGAAAAGGCAGATTTACACTGCAAAATACCTGTCAGAATGACCCTCGCAGCACTTGGGGGTGAAATCGAGGTACAGTCAATAGATGGAGCGAAAATTAAAGTAAAAATACCAGAAGGTACGCAAACAGGTACTAAGTTGCGTTGTAGAGAAAAGGGAATGCATTATATGAATTCAAGTACTCGTGGTGATTTATATGTGCAAGTTATAGTTCAAACTTTAAACCCNTAAGAAGCAAATTGAGCTACTAAAGGCTCTTGAAGAGAGTGAAGATTCAAACCAGCAGCAAAACGAAGGATTCTTCAATAAAGTGAAAAAAAGTATTTTCTAAAGTGCAATAGAAAGATTACCAATCGATTTTCTTATCTCGAGCTTTAATCTGCAGCGTAGCTATTAAGCTAATTAAGGCACAAATAGAAAGATAGATACCTGCTGAAAGTTTTGTACCAGTTTTTTCTATAAGTTGCATACATACGTATGGAGAAATACCGCCAAAAATCCCTGCAGATATATTGTGTGCCAAACTAGAACCAGTACATCTAATTTTCGTTGGAAATAATTCGCAGATAAGAGAATTACTTATCCCAAAAGATGCACCTATCGGTATACTAGTTAGTAAAAAAGTAAATATTACAATGTATTGATTATCGCTAGATAATAATAAAAAGACTGGCAAGCTTAAAGAAACTAGTACCACTAAAGTAGTGATCATTATGCTTTTTCTTCCTACTTTATCAGACAATATTGCAAACAACACTGCACATATTCCAAATATCATATCACTTATAATTCTCACTATATTTTTAATATCAACCCCCAGTATATTAAACTCTTTCACAGATATATTATAAAACATCACTATTGAGTAAACGACTGCATTTTGAGCAATACCAACTATAATTGAGATAATAAACAGTTTTTTATAGCTCTTAAACAGCTCTGAAAGTGGAGAATTAGAAAGATTTTTACTTTCTTTATGTGTTCTGTACGCTAAACTTTCGCTGATCATATATCTTGTTAGCACTCCTATCACACCCATGAAAAAACAAAAATGAAAAAGCAACCTCCAACCCCAGATTTCAAAACCTTCACCTGTAAGTTTTTTACAAATTTCTATCATCACAAAGCACATGATCGAACCAAGTGCACCACTGAAAGTTTTTATACTTCCTAAAAACCCAATGTTTGCTTTATCACTTGAATGCTCAATTAAAAAAGCTGAGTTAACACCTATTTCTCCACCTGCTGCTGCTCCTTGCGTGATTCTACAGATTAATAATAATATTGGTGCAGCAATTCCTATCTCCCTGAAGCTTGGTATAATTCCAATTGCAGTAGATGAAACCGACACAAGCATGACTGACGCAATTAAAACTTTTCTTCTGCCGTATTTATCTCCAATATGACCGAAAATTAGTGCACCTAGTGGCCTAGACCCAAAACCAAGAGCAAAGGTAATAAGATATTGTGCTATATTACCCTCAGAAGGAAAAAAAGTACTACTAATTATGCATGTCAAAACCCCAAATAGGGTTAATTCATACCATACTATCATGTTGCAAATTATGCTCGATAGTATAGCTTTCTTGATATCATTCAACTTTTTATCCAGTGTATTACTTTGCTTATATTACTACTAACAGACACTTTTGTCGATAATTTAGATTTTTCTAATTCTTACTCATCTTTATCATTGCCTGGGTCTTGTAGGATGCTATAATTGCTTTTTCTAAGTCTACCTTTCAAAGACGCAACGCCACTTTCACTAATACCACTTAAGCTCAAAGCAGCAGCACCTAACTGCAATCCAACTTCGCATGTTTCAGGAATAACTTTACTTACTCCCAGAGTGTTATACATTTCTACATTACTTAAATCTGGTAAGCGTATTATAATGTTTACATGTGGAAAATTCGCTGCAACTAAAGAAACTATCTTCCTTATAGTAACTTCATTTTTGATTGAGATTACTATGGCTTGGGCTCTTTCTATTCCTATTGACTTTAGGATTTCAGGTCTCGTAACATCTCCTAAATATATAGGGAAGCCATCATTTTTACCTTCCTTAACTATTTTTGACTGAATATCGACAATAACATAATTTAAGTGCTCAGCACTAAGCATTTTGGTTACCATATGTCCAACACGACCAAAACCAGCAACAATTACATGATTATGAAGATCTTGTGTATCTGTCACCACAGCTTCATCATCTAAAATAACCTTTTCACTGCTTAGCAAGTTTACTATCCAATCCCCTAGCCCAGATAAAAGAGGGGTAAATGCCATTGTAATTGTAGTCAATATCATAAGTATTTGCGCAGTTTCACCTTCTAATACATGCAAATCTTGTGCTAAACGAAACAAAATAAACGCAAATTCCCCACCCTGTGCAAGTAGCAATCCAGCTTGTATAGCAGGCGCACTTTTGAATCTAAAAAATCTACATAAAACATAAATTATGGAAGCCTTTAAAGCAATAAGAACAACAGATAGCAATGCAATTAACAGTATGTTATCAAGAAGAAGTTTAATGTTGATAGACATACCAACAGTCATGAAAAACAAACCAAGAAATAGGTCTTTAAATGGCAACACTGCTTGCTCTACTGAATGCCTATGCTCTGTTTCCGCAACAAGCAACCCTGCAACAAATGCTCCCAACGCCATTGATAAATGAAATGCTTCAGTAATAAATGCTGCTCCTAATATTATCAGCAACGTTGTTGCTATGAATATCTCATTACTTCTCATAGCGGAAATAACTGAAAACAACGGCCTAAGCAGAAGACGACCGGTTATAAANTGAGCTTATAAGGCTGTGCTGAGAATTGCCGGCAAGTAAAGACACTAATACTATCAAAGGCACTACTGCAAAATCTTGTAGCAAAAGGATTGCTATTGACAACCTACCTACTTGTGTCGCTTGATAACCTTTCTCATGCAGCACCTGTAATACCATCGCCGTTGATGACAATGCAAGACCACCACCAATAACTACGGCCTTTTTTGAATCTATACCGAATTTTGCTCCAACTGTAGCAGCAATCCCCCATATTGCCGCTATCGTCACTATAACCTGTAAGGACCCAAAACCAAATACATGCATACGCATGGCCATTAGCCGTTCAAATGTTAACTCCAGACCTATAATGAACAGTAAAAAAACTACACCAAACTCTGCAAAGCTATCCATCACTGTAGTTGATGTTATAAAACCAAGCCCATGAACACCGATAGCTGCACCTGCAACAAAATATCCAAGAACAGGACTAATGTTCATCTTCCAGAAAGCTATCACTATAAACACAGCAGCAGAAAGTACAATTATAATGTCGCGCAAATGATGTAATTGAGAAGTATCGTGCATAACATTTACTCCGTATTATTACACCATTTTATCGAACAACCAATGCTTGGTTTCTGATCAGTTAATGGACTACCTGTCTCAGCAACAAATTTCATAGCTTGAAATAAATCGCTGCTTCCTACTAAATGGCCATGAAGTTTATCCTTTTTCCTATCATCAAAACGTCCACGATAACAAAGATTCAAACTAGAATTAAAGCCAAAAAAATCAGGGGTACATACAGCTCCATAAGCTTTAGCCACTTCCTGTATAGTATCAATTAGATATGGAAAGGTAAATCTATTGCACTTAGCAAAATTAATCATATTCTCGTAAGAATCTTCAGGATATGCATTAACATCATTAGGCATTATCGCAACAGCATTTACCTGATAATTTTCCTGCAGCAAGGCTATATCAGCTACTAAGTCGCTAATAATTGACTGAACGTAAGGACAGTGATTACATATAAACATGACTATCAAGCCATTTTCACCGCGGCAATTACTTAAGGTATAGTATTTACCATCAACTCCTAACAAATTAAAATCTCTTGCTATGAAATTAAAATCCCCTTCAGGCGTATTCAGTGCAACCATATCCTTAGATTTAATGAGTATCGTACATAATCTATATTTTTATCCTTTAAATGTCAAATAATTTGTAGCGAATATAGCCTATTCTATAGAGTAATTGTTGTTCACATTACATAACAATTGATTCTTCAGCTCTAAAATGCAGTCAGCTTTTTCTGCAAGATAATGATTATGTGTCACTATAAGCATAGAGCAGTTATTTTCTTTTACATATGAATATAGCAGTAAAAATACATCTAGAGAATTTGACGGATCTAAGTTTCCTGTAGGCTCATCTGCAAGTAAAAGCTTCGGAGAATTTACAAGGCTTCTTGCTATTGCAACTCTTTGCCTTTCTCCTCCAGAAATTTCAGATATCATACTCTTTGCTTTATTCTCTAAATTAAATTTCTCTAGCATTTTATATGCATTGCTTTTTGCCTCAACTTTGTTTTTTCCCACAATAAGCTGAGGAAGCATAATATTTTCCAGCACTGATAATTCCCGCAGCAAATAGTGAAACTGGTAAACAAAGCTGAGAAAATTCCTCCTCATACTAACCTTCTGTTTTTCACTTGCTTGTGTACAATTTACCTCATTGATTAACACCGTTCCTGAAGTAGGGGTATCCAACAGCCCTGCAATTTGTAATATAGTCGTTTTACCAGATCCTGAATTACCAATTAATGCAATTACCTGTCCTTTTGCAAGGCTTAAATTAATATCTCTTACAATAGGAGAATCACTATTAAAACTTTTCGTTACCGAAATTAATTTGAGCATTAAACTGAAAAGCTATTACCGCATCCACATTGAGATTTAGCAAGATTATTTTTTATTTGAAACCCAGAATTACATAAATCTTCAACATAGTCTATTACCGAGTCTTGCAAAAATTTCACTGAACAAGTGTCAACCATAAGTATAGGATTTCCANTTAGATCGACTTTCATAGTCTTCATCATCATCTTCTTCATCAAAGTCATCCTCGAAATCATCATCGTCATAATCATCATCATCTTCTTCATCACTTAATGACGGAATCTTGTCAATAAGGAAATTATATTTAAAACCAGAGCATCCACCTCCCGAGATAGCAATCCTCAATACAGACCCTGGGGACCTTTCTTGCTCTACAAGAGAGTGAATTTTTTTTATTGCACTATCAGTCAGGTTAATATTGTAATTTGTTGACATAGTAAGCACCTTTCATTATTAAATAATTATAACGCAGATTCTACATGTCAAACAATAATTTTCTACTAAATTACGTGTGCTATCCAAATCAAACAAGAGGAAGATATTTCTCAGAACAAGAGGATAAGTATCGTAGCTGCTTTCAGCGTGACAGGGATCGCATCATTCACTCCAATGCATTTAGGAAATTAGGATACAAAACACAAGTTTTTATTAACTATGCGCATGACTATTACCGCACTCGCCTTACTCATAGTCTTGAAGTTGCACAAATTGCAAGGTCAATTGCACGTAGGCTTAATTTAAATGAAGATATCACTGAGTGTATAGCACTTGCACATGATCTTGGTCATCCACCTTTCGGCCATGCAGGCGAAGATGCATTAAATAAAGTAACTCAAAACTTAGAAGGTATATACAAATTTGACCACAATGTTCAAACTATTAGAATCCTGGTTTACCTAGAAAAGAAGCATGCTGATTTTGATGGACTGAATCTTAGTTGGGAAGTGATTGAGGGAATAGCTAAACATAACGGTCCTTTGCTTGGCCAATATGCAAAATTTCCCACAAGTAATAAATTAATGTTAGAGTATAATGAAAAATATAATCTCAAACTTGAAGAATTTTCTAGTGCTGAAGCGCAAGTTGCTTCCATTGCTGATGATATTGCCTATAGCGTCCATGATCTCGACGATGCATTAAGAGCAAATCTGATTACCATCGAAGATTTACTAAATATTCCTTTAATTGGAAAAGTATTCCAAGATGTAAAAGGTAGGTATGTGAACATATCTCAAAATAAAGTTATACACGAAGCTTTAAGTAAAACCATAGGTATCATGATTAATGATGTAGTCTCTCAAACTGAGGTGAATATTCAAGACTATAAAGTAAAAAATGCGGAAGACATAAGGAAATTAGATAAACCTTTAGTAACATTTTCACTGGAAGTGACAAAAGCTGTAATAGAAATGAAAAAATTTAATATGCAGAAAATATATCGGAACTACAAGCTGAATAGAACTATGAATAAAGCACAACGTATATTGCAAGAACTCTTTCAGTGTTTTTATGAAAAGCCAGCATTACTACCAACCGAATGGGAAAAAATTGCCACTGAATCTCAGCGTTCAATAGTAATATGTGATTACATTGCTGGTATGACCGATAGGTTTGCTATACATGAACATAGGAGGATATTTGATACTTCATATGAGATGACTTCTTTTTAATTTTAAATGTCTGACTATTACTTCATGTCAATTGCATTAAAACTTGCAGCAAATGCGTTGGGAAATGTAGCACCTAATCCTGCTGTTGGTTGCGTCATTGTAAAAAATAATGCGGTAATTGCTGAGGGGTGTACTGGTGTTGGTGGACGCCCGCATGCAGAGGTAGTTGCACTGGAAAACGCTCAGAATTTAGCTTGTGGTGCAACTATGTATGTAACTCTTGAGCCGTGCTGTCATTATGGAGTTACAGGCCCTTGCACTTCAGAAATTATAAAATCAGGAATAAAAAGAGTAGTAGTCGCGACTACTGATCCCGATGAAAGAGTCTCAGGTAAAGGAATAGAGATACTGAAGGAGTCCGGAATTGAAATCACACATGGAATTATGCAAGAAGAAGCAGAAAAGCTAAACGTGGGTTTTTTCCTAACTAAAAAATCACATAGACCATTTATAACTTGCAAGGTTGCTTCAACTCTGGATGGGAAAATTGCAACATTTACAAATGAAAGCAAGTGGATTACAAGTGAAGATACGAGAAACTGGGTACATAAATTAAGAACTAAATATGATGCAATTATGATCGGAAGCAACACTCTTGTTCAAGATGATCCACTTTTAACTTGTCGACTGCCTGGACTTGAAGATAAGTCACCAATAAGGATTATTATAGACGGCCAAGCACAGTTGAGAAAAGAACACAATATCGCAAAAACTGCTGATAAAGTAAAGACCTGGGTCATTACAAACAGTGAAATAGTGGAAGAAATAAAGAATATTAACTACTTAGCAGTTAATTCAAACAAAAATGGTAAAGTTTGTTTAAAAGACATGATGCAAAAGCTTATTTCAGAGATTGGAATAACTAGAGTGTTGGTAGAAGGAGGAGGCATATTAATTACAGAATTATTAAAACACAAGTTGATTGACAGACTAGTAATATGCCGGAGTGGTAAAATTCTAGGCAATGATTCTATACCTTTTATAGGTAATCTTGGAATTCAGTCTATTAATGAGTGTTACAAATTTAAAAAAGCGGAAGTTATAAACTTAATAGATGATATAGTGGAAATATGGGATCACGAGTATTGATTTTGCAGTACCAACACCTTAGGTTCAGAATGTGATGGTAAAGATTTAATATGGACTTAGCTATTTTAGTGGAGGTTACTATACTGATAAAACTTCTTCTCACAAGTGTTATGTAAAATAGCTGACATTGGCCATATTAGCGCGTATTGGAAGTGGTATAAAATGTTAAAAGACCATATATGTTTAAGAGAGAATAAAAAAATTAGAAAATTTTAATAAAAACGAAGCTAAAAAGTAAAGCAGTCAACATAATGTTTTTTATTGACATTGCTTTGCTAAAGTTTTTTTAAAGAACAAATTATAGCACAAAACCTCAGTTGAAAAATTCCTTTGCATCACATTGAGAATACTTTCCATAAAAGCGTGATTTGGAGAGATTTATTAATAGCTTGCGAAAAGTAAATTACTTACGCAACTAAAATATATTGTGGGTAAAGTTGGCCACCGGAGATGGATTTAAGGTTATGCTAAATTTGATATAGGCAAATTCACAAGAAAAAGTGGCTCCCCGCTCTTTACTAAATAAACTCGGTCTCACAAATATTATGAAATGTGAGTTAAATTGGCCATATTCCTCATACTTTTAATAGTATGAAAAGCTTAAAAAGGCCATACATAATTAAAAGTGGGCAAGAAAAATTCTTTTAATTTTAGAAAATTTGGCTTCTAAATAAAGAATTTTTTTACTAGTGCTGCTCACAGGAATCTCCCATCTTCACAATCCTTTCTCTTTGATTATTCACCTTCCTTGCTTAATTATTTTAATAATGTAAAATATAGTATTAGCATTAAAGTATATTTGACTTAGACTAAAATGAAAATATGAAACATTTTTCTATAAATTCAATAGGACGCTGCATTCCAAAAAACAAAGTTACTTCTGATAAGATCGATGAATTATGCAATCTTCCTGCTGGCTATACAGAGAGAAATTCACATATAAAATCTAGATATTGGGCTGAGCCGATAAATGAAACAACACTTAGTATGGCAAAAGATGCGATTGATGATGCACTACTTAAAGCAAACTTAAGCATAGAAAATATTGACTGTATTATCAATGGAGGAAGCTTGGTTCCACAGATTTTACCGTGTACTGCATCATTGCTACTATCTTATTACCAAACTAGTGGTCAAGACTGCTTTGATGTAGACTGTACTTGCTTAGGTTTTTTAAAAGCATTAGAAATCGCGGATTGTCTATTTAAAGTAAAAAATTATGAAAACATTTTAATATTTTGTAGTGAATNAGTGAATTACCGTCTCTAGGAATAACTAAAAATAATCATTCAACTTTTAACTTATTTGGTGATGGTGCGGTGGCAGTTATTCTAAGTGCATCACAGAGTTCATCTTCATCAGTTATTGCATCTTTATTTCAGACATTTCCTGATGGTGGAAATCATAGTCAATGTCGTGGTTGTGGAACCTTAACCCACCCTAGTAGAACTGGATAATCACCTGGTATTACCTCCTTTTACTTCGAAATGGATGGCCCAAAAATATTTAAGACTGCAGCTAAATACTTTAATAATTTCTTAGAATTATTGCTCAAAAAGGCTAACGTATCACTTCAGGACATTAATTTTGTAATTCCTCATCAAGCAAGCTACCACGGTATAAAACACATACAAAAGCATCTTGGTATTAAGCAAGATAAAGTAATATGCATTATTGAAAATTACGGTAATCAGGTAGCAGCTTCAGTACCAAATGCATTATATGAGTTGACTAATAATAAACAACTTCAAAAAGGGAATAAAATCTTATTTTTAGGAGCGGCTGCTGGATTGATATTGGGAGGGCTGATTCTTGAATACTAAACCATATATCTTAGTTACTGGAGCAACTGGAGGACTTGGAAGGAATCTTGTAGAATATCTTCTGAGTGTTGGTAATCATGTTGTTGCAATTGGAAGAAATCAGAACATAGGAAAGCAACTGCAGTTTCAAGGGGCAACTTTTATATCTACTGATATACGAAATGAAATTCATATTGAGAAATCACTAGGGACATGTTTAGCTATTATTCATTGTGCTGCGCTTTCTAAGCCTTGGGGAAAATATTTAGATTTTTACATAACAAATGTAGTTGGTACTAAAAATGTTATTGAACTCGCTTATAAAAAGGACTGTCCTTTGATTCATATATCCACTCCTAGTGTTTACTTTGATTTTAGAGATCGGTTGAATATTTCGGAAAATGATCCTCTATCAAATCAATTTGCAAGCTTTTATACTGAAACAAAAAAGCTTGCAGAAGACCTAGTAATAGGCGCCAGTAATATGATAAAGTCTGTAATTTTAAGACCAAGAGGTATTTTTGGTCCATATGATAAGGAATTTATTCCTCGTGTGTCACGCATAGCTTCTAGAGGATATTTTCCACTAATAAGAAATGGAGACCCTATTGTGGATATTACATATGTAGAAAATGTGGTGGATGCAATTATGTTGTCACTTTCTAATATTGAAACAGTGTCAGGACAGATATTCAATATTACAAACAATCAGCCACTAAAAATACAAAATATTTTGGACATTCTATTTGATGCTTTGAAGGTCAAAGTACGCTTAATTAAAGTAAAGTATTCACTTTTAAAATCAGTAACAGCAATAATGGAACTTACTAGCAAATTAACAAATTATGCATTTGAACCACCTATTACTTCTTATACACTGGGATTATTGTCTTATTCTCAAACTTTGAATATACATAATGCACAAACTCTTTTGAAATTTAAACCTTCAGTATCTATTGAAGAAGGTATTAATAGATTTGCAAAATGGTTTTCGCATGGTTAGATTTAAACTCTATCGAGCTGGGTACTGTAGACACCCTGAGTATACAGTAATAAAAAACGGTTCACTTCGGTTAAAAGAATTTTCAATGATTTGTGCTCTTCTTCATCATAACAAGTTTGGGCACATTCTTTTTGATGTTGGTTATAGTCAAGAATTTTTTAATGCAACAAAGAAATTTCCATATGCATTATACAAACTATTGACTCCTGTGCATATTCCTCTCACTTTGAGAGAATCCCTACTCGTAGATGGAATAGATCCTTTAAGTATAAAATATATTTTTGTTTCTCATTTTCACGCAGATCATATTTCAGCTATAGATGACTTTCCAAATGCTGAGATTATTTGTTCACGTGAGGCATATGAATTTGCAAAAAAAGCTACAGGTTTTAAGGGGATAATTAAGGGAATTTTACCATACTTAGTTGCAAAATTCAAATATAGAAAACTCAATTTTATTGAATGCAAAAAGCAAACTCCAGGTCCATATTTATTTAATATTGCATATGACATATTAGGAGATGAGACACTATTAGCTGTACCATTACCTAGTCATGCAATTGGACATTTTGGTTTATATTGTAATGATACACACAAATTTTTAGTAGGGGATTCCTGTTGGATAAAAAAAGCATATGTGAGTAACACTCTACCGCATTGGATAACAAAAATACTACACCACAATCATTCAGAGTACAGTGCAACATTAAGTAAATTGCGTACTCTGCATAAACTTTATCCTAATATTAAAATAATACCGTCTCATTGCTTAGAAACATACTTGAAAATGGTGGATTTATGAGTAAGTTAACCATAATAAAGGCTTTTTTACAAGATCGCTATCTTACCTACTCACTTAATAGTAGAGCCAAATTGGAAACTTATCAAAAGCTAAAGTTGAGTAAGTTTTTAAAGTGGTTGTGTAGTCATTCACCGTTTTATAGTGCATATAACGGTAGACTATTAGAGGATTTTCCTGTAATGGACAAGATATCTATGATGGAAAATATATCATCAATAAATACGCTAGGACTTAAAAGTCAAGAATTACTGAATTTTGCACACACTTGCTATGAAAAACGCCTATATAATCTTAACTATAATAATATAACTGTTGGCTTATCTTCAGGTACTTCTGGCAAAACAGGGATCTTTCTTGTTTCTCAAAGTGAGTGTGATTTATGGTCTGGAATCATGTTAAGCAAGGCATTAAAAAGGACTACAATTACAAAAGCATAGAATTGCTTTCTGTTTTAGAAATGACAGTACTTTATATCAGAACTTAAGTTCAAAAATCATAAATTTTAAATTTATAGACGTTACAAGTGGTATAGATTATATAGCTTCAGAATTATGTAAATATCAACCAACTATTTTAGTTGCTCCAGCTTGTGTTTTAACCCTCCTTATCGGCAGCATAAAAAGCCATCAAGTTAATCCTGTTAGATTTTTTCTGTATCAGAAGTACTAGATCCTGATGTTGAAACAAAATTGAGTGCTTTCTTTAATCAAAAAATCTTTCAAATTTATCAATGTACAGAAGGGTTCTTAGGAATAAGTTCCCCATACCACGATGGTATTATTATGAATGAGGAATACGTATTTATTGAGAAAGAATTAGTTGGTGAAAATCGCTTTATTCCAATTATAACAGACTTTACACGAACTTCCCAACCTATAGTACGTTACCGCTTAGATGATGTTCTAGTTCTGTCAGATGAGAAAAATGATACTCCATTCACAATTTTAGACAGAATAGAAGGACGTTGTGATGATGTTTTATATCTAAAGAAACGTAATAGTGGCGAGTTAATACCTATATTTGCTGACTCAGTTCGTAACATATTTTGCAAGCAAAGTGCTGTAAGTGACTATAGAATAGAGCAAAACAGTCATGATCAATTGTGGATTAAGATGGCTCCACTGTCAGAAGATGCAAAAGGATATATAAATCAGGACATACGGAATTTATGTGATCTATTACAGCTTGATTATCCGAATATCACCTTTCTCAAATTGAATTCCATTGATCTTAGGCAGAAGTACAGAAGGATAAGGAGAAACTTTAATATTGAGGATTGCAGATGAATATTTTAATTACCGGTGCTCGGGCTCCGATTGCAATTGAATGGGCTTATAGATTAAAATTCAGTAGGTCGAGCGTAAAGATTATTATGGCTGATAGCATGCGCTTACCAATAGGTAGGTTTACTAATACTATAGAGCGATACTACTATATCAGATCACCAATGCAGTCTCCTAGACTATTCATAGAAGACATATTATCAATAGTTGTAAAAGAAGGAATAAACTTAATTATTCCAACATGTGAAGAAATATTTTACTTATCTAAGCTAAAACATTTTCTACCTACTACAACTCATTTATTTACAGATGAATTTGAAAAACTATCATTGCTGCATAACAAATTTTTATTTATCAAAAATCTTGTTGATGATACTGGTATACATAAGCCAAAAACATATCTTATTAATTCTCAGGACGAGTTTTTACATTGGAAAACAAAACATGATACTAACGACTATATCCTAAAGCCGGTGTTTAGTCGTTTTGGGTCAGAAACAATATTAGACATTTCCAAAATTAGAACTGCAATAAGATATCCTGTTGTTGCTCAACAAAAAATTTCCGGTAGGGAGTTATGCTCCTATAGCCTATCTATAAATGGTAAAATTATTGTACACTCTTGCTACCATCCAAAATATAAAGCTGGTTTAGGAGCTGGAATATATTTTCAACCTGAATATAACCAAGAAATTATTGATTTTGTAAAAAGTACCGCAAGAAAATTCAGCTTTACAGGGCAAATAGCTTTTGATTTTATCGCAGATGATTATGGACATATTTACCCAATTGAATGTAATCCAAGAGGAACGAGTGGGCTGTACTTAATACCTGAATTAAACATATTAGAGTTAATTACAAAACCAAAAGAGTCAAAGTATGTAACACATAATAAACCTTATCAAGTGAAATTTGGTATGTGGTTGTATTCTGCTAATCACATTAAAGGTTTTGGTGTAAAACAATTCATTAAAGATTATAAAAACGCACTAGACATTTATAGTGAAAAAAAGTTACATTACCTACAATTTATTAGTTTTTTCGAAATTCTAATCAGGAGCTTTTCTACAAGATTTAACCTTAAAAAGGCAGCAACACAAGATATTGAGTGGGATGGGCATGAAATTACTGAATCTTGATGATATTAGCTCTGAAGCTGTTCTTAAAGAAAAAACCGAACTTGCTCATTATATGATGTTGCAAGCACTAAAAATACCATTCTTATTAATTGATAATGTTCAAACTGAAATAAGGGCTGCTGTTGTTGATGGGAGTATACTATCTGTAACAGTTAATGAGATTGCTTATAACACATCTTATGTATGTTCTATGTATACTGCTTTTATATCTTATGCTAAACAGGAATTGAAGAAAATAAATAATCTATTGATTCAAAAAATACTACTAATGCTCATTAGCAGTTTGGATAATTTATTAAAGAAAGTGCATATAGATCGTGTTGTTTCCAATAATAATTTTTTACTTTCTACAAATTTATACTTTAATACAACATGGAAGGAAGGTGAACTAAGACAATATTTACAAGGCCTTATAAAAGAATTTCCTGAGCATACTATTATATTTAGGTCCCTAAATTTTCACACTAATAAGGACTTAATACAAGTTTTGAAAAATATTGGCTGTAAGCTAGTTCCAAGTAGACAAGTCTATATATTTGATCAAAGTCTTAAAGACTATACAAAACAAAAAAATTATCAGATTGACCTAAAGCTTTTAAATAATATAAGAGATTATACTTTGTGTTACAATGCAGATATAATGCACAGTGACTACAAACAAATAGAACATTTATACAAAAAATTATATATCGATAAATATTCAACATATAATCCTATTTTTAATGCTCAATACATAGAATACTCACATAAGACATCATTCATTGAATATTTCGGTTTACGTAATAAAGAGGGTGTTTTAGATGCTATAATTGGTTGCTATGATAGAAATAATACTACAACAGCACCAATTGTTGGGTATGATACAGATTTATCACAAAAACTAGGGTTGTATAGAATATTGATGGCTTACTGTATTAATAGAGCGCAACGTAAAGGTATGGTATTGAACCTTAGCTCTGGTGCATCACTATTCAAAATTTTACGTGGTGGTGTACCATTTATCGAATATAGTGCCGTCTATACAAATCATCTAAATAATAGATTGCAAAAATTAACATGGAAGTTATTAGGCAATATACTAATTTACATTGGAGTTCCCATTATGAAGTATTTTAAGTTATGAATATAGAACATCTAAAAAGTTATTGCTACTTAGTAAGTCGATCGAAAGACATAAAATACAAATTGCAAAAATTTTTTATTTTAAATATTCCTATTATTATCTTTAGAGATAATAATAGGAATATTGAGGGGATTTATCGACTATTGTCCACACCGCGGAGTGCCCCTTTCAAATGGAAGGCTAACCAGTGATTACATTAAGTGTTGCTATCATGGTTGGGAATTCAATTTTGAAGGAGTATGTAAAAATATACCTGCTTTAGAAAATGCTCCTAGATTTTGTCTCAAAAAGGTATTTGTTGAGGAATATAAGGGATACGTTTTTGTAAGTCTAAACAGTAATCCATATCCATTATATGGTATACCAGACTTAGATTCCTGCCATCATTACTATTGGACAAGGAAAGTAAATGGTGATCTAATTGATATATTAGAGAATTTTCTTGATGCTACTCATACTCCCTTTATTCATAAATACCTGATACGTAGTCCAAAAAAAGCACAAAAAATTTATGCTCAAGTTAAATGTTTTGATCGTTGTGTAACCATTCATTACACCGGAGAAAATAAGCAATTTGGAGTTATATCTAAATCGTTTGAAAAAGAAAGATTTCAAAGTGACTCCTTGTTTCAAATGCCTAGCATCGCAGAGATTAACTACTACAGTAAAAATGGTTTGAGTCTTAAGATTAGAGCTTATTTGACACCAACTACTACAAATTTACATAATATTCATGTTCTCTTTTACTTTCCTAAAAGGACTATTTTACCTGGATTTTTGAAATACATTATTGCATGGCCATTTTTTCAAATCGCGTTCTTGCAAGATAAAAAAATAGTTGAGAATCAATTAAAAAATAAAGCACATGTTAAAGGATATAGCCCAATTTACTGTGAAGCAGATCTTGTTAGAAAACACCTAGTTAATCTTATAGTAAACTCCAATTTTACTGATCAAACAAGTTACTCAAGAGTAATTACTGTATAAACCCCAGTTATGGATTTCAATTCATAGTGGTCGAATTATACATATTTTATGTAAAAACTTATTGACATCAAAAGTATTTATGTAAAAATGCGTGTGTGTTTAAAGTTTCACATAATTACTTAACTTTAAGCATAAATAGTTTAATTAGCTTAGCTTAAGGAGGCAAAAATGGGATTAAGTGAGCAACAAAAAAAATAAACAACTACAGTCTTTAAACTTTAACGATAACAAAGTAAGCGAGGATAAACTTCATTGCTCAAAGCGGAGTTTAAGTGTACTCAAAGATATGATGAAATTTTTTAATGCAGTTATGTTTATTTCACAGTTACATAGAATAAAACAGCATCATTCAAAGGAGAGAGCTGTAGATAAAATAAACGGAAAGTTTGAGGAGCATGAGTCTGATGCCAAAAAACAATGTGCAGAAATTACAACAGAGCAGCATGTCACAGAATCACAAAAAATAACAGTACCTATAGAACATACAAATTTAGAAATACCTGTAAATTTCGCGCTAATTAATGCTGTAAAACGCGGTGAGCTTGAGACTGTTAAAACTTATTGAAAATAAAGGTGCAGATGTTAATATCAGAAATCAGTATGGACAGCCACTTTTACGCATAGCTGATGGCATCCTTGCTCGGGTATAAGAGAGTAACCTTATAGAGAAAAGAGCTAATGAAGTACAACAGGTTACAACGAAGCAGTATACAAAGTTACAAGAGACCACTAGTACAGCAATACCCATGGAACAACTCAATTTAGAACTAGCTAACGCTGTAGAACAGAATGATTTTGTGAATGTTAAATGAAATATGTTGAGAAAGGTGCTGATGTTAACCTAAGGAACAGGTATGGCTGTACTGAGTTACACAGTGCTGCCGGTAATGGTAGTTTGGATGTAGTGAAATACCTGATTGAGAAAGGCGCTGATGTGAATGCTAATGCTGCAGATACTATGGCGGTGGTACTTCTTTACATAGTGCTGTAGGTAGTAAGAGCTTAGATGTAGTAAAATATCTAGTCGATAAGGGTGCTGATATAAATAGTACAACAAAAGATGGAACTACAGCACTACACATAGCGGCTGGTCAACATAATTGTGAAATAATAGAATACTTAATTCTGAAAGGGGCAGATATTAATGTTAGAGATAATGATGGCAATATACCTTTGCATTTAGCTGCTCAAGACAATATATTTCAGAACCAAGAAGATAAAATAGATGTAATGAAATACCTTATACGAAGAGGTGCTGATATTAATGCTAAAAATAATGACGGTAAAACTGCTGCGAATGTTGCAACTGACTCAAATGTGATCAAATATTTGAATTCTGTTCAGAAGAGTTAAGAATTTAGTAAATTGTCTAAAATAATAAAGAGGAGTATACCTAGAAACGACTACCATACTCCTCTTTGACTACCTCAATTCTTCTGTCAGTTAACTCTTGTCTGTCAGATTAAGTTGTGTCTAGTACAAATAAATTATCAAATATAACGAAGGGGAGTATACCCAATATTATATAAACAATTGCCATGCTCCACTTCAACCACTATCTACTTCTGTAACCCAGTTTCATTGCTATGAAGCGATACATTATCAATATAAGTAGCAGGTGAAACCCCATACTTCTTCTCGCCCTCTTCTATAGCTTTTTTAATTGCATACTCATCAACTCCATTCTTCAACATCGATTGTTGAGCTGGCGACAAAAGGTTCTCTTGAGTTGGTTGTTGCTTACTTTGTGTTTTATTGAATACACTAGCAGCAAACATACCTAACAGCAGTGCGTTGTTTATTACAGTAGCATTTATCTCTGGTGCAAACGTAATAGTATTGTCATGATTAGTGCTACGCTCCTTAGAAGTAAGTAAAGCTGGAGATTCTGTAGAACCTTTAATCCAATTCATAACTCTATCATTTATTAATAATGATAATTTTCCTTGTTGGTTTCCTGTTACAGAACGGCGGCTACGACTAGCACCTAGTCCTTGTAGATATTTAACTACATCATGTGTTCCTGCTAAACCTAAAGGTGTTTCATTATATTTATTTTTAGCATTAATATCAGCTCCTTTTTCTACAAGGTATTTAACTGTATCTAAGTGACCCCTCCAAGCAGTCATATGTAATGGAGTATTCCGGACTTTATTCTCAGCATTTACATCAACGCCTTCCCCTATAAGATATTTTACTATATCTAAGTGACCACCAGAAGCAGCAACGTGTAAAGGTGTCATGCCATCATTGTCCTTAACATTAAAATCAGCACCTTTCTCATCAACTAAGTATTTAACTACATCTAAGTGACCATTATCAGCAACCCTGTGTAAAGGAGTCCAACCATGGAAATCACCTGCATCCTGAACATTAAAATAAGCACCTTTTGTATCAATTAAGTATTTAACTATATCTAAGTGACCACTGTAAACAGCAAAGTGTAAAGGAGTCCAGCCATCATTGTCCTTAACCTTAAAATCAGCACCTTTCTCATCAACTAAGTATTTAACTACATCTAAGTGATCATTTTTAGCAGCAAAGTGTAAAGGAGTCCAGCCATCATTGTCCTTAACCTTAAAATCAGCACCTTTCTCATCAACTAAGTATTTAACTACATCTAAGTGATCATTTTTAGCAGCAAAGTGTAAAGGAGTCAAGCCATGTCTGCGTTTAGCATTAACATTAGCTCCTTTTTCTACAAGAGATTTAACTATATCTAAATGACCATTTTCAGCAGCAAGATGTAAAGGAGTATCATCGAATGTGTTCCTAAAATTCACATTAGCACATTTATCTAATAAAAACTTTGCTATACCCACAAAACCTTTTTTAGCAGCCCAATGAAGAATCGTGTTTTCATGCCAGTGATAATAATCTCTAGTATTTACATCAGCACCCTTATTAATATACTCTTTAACCTTATCAAGGTTGGATTCTTTTACAGCTATAATTAGCTCTAAGCTCAACTTTTGGCTATTTTGATTAGTAATTTCTTGTGATGTTTTGCACTCATTTAGTTCTGTAGTCTGTTGCCTTTCTGTAACCTGCGGCGCTTCTGTTGTAACCTGCTGTCTCTCAGTAACCTGTTGCATTTTTGTTGTTACCTGCTGTCCTTCTGTAGTCTGCTGCTTTTCTGTAATCTGTGTTCCTTCTGTTACAACCTGCTGCTTTTCTATGACCTGTGATACTTCTGTAACTTGTTGTGCTTTTGTTGTCATTGTTGTCTTTCTGTAGTTCGTTGCTTCTCTGTAATGAGTTTTACGCTTGTTCTAACTGTACTCATTTGAGTAGTAGCTTCTTGTGGAGTATTGATACCGTTTACTTCTGTAACTCGCTGCTCACCTGTAACTTGTTTTGCACTTGTTCTAGCTGTACTCATTTGAGTAGTAATTTCTTGTGGCATTTTGCTATAACTTTCTATTAAAAGACCATCTCTGGATTTAGGTAAAAGATCAGAAATAAATTTCCAAATCTCTTGTACAAGACTTTTAGGTGGCTCTTCTGTGACTGGTTGTTCTTTTGTGCTAATCTGCCCTTGTGGTGTTTTGTTGTCATTTAGTTCTGTAGTTTGTTGTTGACTTGCCCCAACCGTACTCATTTGAGTAGTAGCTTCTTGTGGTGTTTTACTATCATTTAGTTCTGTTGTGCTAATTTGAGTAGTAATTTCTTGTGGCACTTTGCTATAACTTTCTGTTATATGCCTCTCACTTGTCCCAACTGTACTAATTTGAGTGGTAAATTCCTGTGGCGCTTTGCTGTAACTCTCTGTCACATGCTTCTCACTTGTTCCAACTGTGCTAATTTGAGTAGCAGTTTCTTGTGGAACTTTGTTATCATTTACTTCTGTTACTTCTGTAATTTGCTGTCCCTTTGTAACCTGTTGTGCATTTGTTGTCACCTGTTGTTCTTCCGTTTCCATAAGGTATCCAGATACATCTAAGTGCCCATTCTGAATGGCTCTTAGCATAGGAGTTTTGCCGTCTCTATCAGTAGCTTTGTGGTTAGCACCCTTCTCTATAAGGTATTTTATTACATCTAAATGACCTTTCTGAGCAGCTAAATGAAGAGCAGTACTATAGCTATATCCACCTTGATAAGCATCAACATCAGCACCTTTCTCTACAAGAGATTTGACTATATCTAAATGACCATGTTCAACAGCTAAATGTAAAGGCATAAAACCTAAGCTATCTTGAGCATTAAAATCAGCACCTTTATCCAATAAAAACCTTGTTATATCTAAGTTGCCACTTTTAGCAGCTATATGCAAAGCTGTACTGCCATTACTATCTTTAGTCTCTACATTAGCTCCCTTATTAACATACTCTTTAACCTTATCAAGATTAGATTGTTTTACAGCATTAATTAGCTCTAAGTTAAGCTGTTTTATAGTCTGGCTACTTTGAGTAGTAGTTTCTTGTGGCGCTTTGCTGTTATTATGAAACCGATTAACAAGATCCTTAAGCTTTTCCAAAACCTCTACATCACCAAGAGCATCTCTACCTGTATCTATAGCCTTCTCCTGTCCACGTCGTGTACCTAAGTACCGTGTACCCACTCTTATACCCCATTGCCAACCACGCGGATTTGACACTAACCTGGTTATAAAGAGTATTACATTAACTATACCTATATTTCGTTTTGAACGATAAAGCTTAACTGTATTATCTTCGCTTAAGCTTATTACCCCTGTATGCCCAATTTTACCATTAAGATTTCCTTGATTTAAAATACCAGACTGTAATAGCTTAACAACACTGTCTTTTTCAGTTATATCATTAGTTTGACCTATACCCATTTTACCCTCTTTAAATGTTAACTAACTACCTGCACTATAAAAATTAGATAGTTGTAAATAACTTCACGTATACCAAACATGGCTTAACTTATAATACAAATATTTTCTATGTCAACAGTTTTTTAATACATTACGTCAATTGGTTAGAAAAACAGAGCAAAGTCTGGAATTAGCTTGAAGATTTATAGTTTATTGCTATCGTTCTTGCAATTTTGTCGTAAAAAAACTGCTTGTGTTTGTCGAATATTGCAGATATGAAAATTAGTGTTATAACTACAAATGTTAAGATCAACAAGGGTTCTGGCCACCATTCAAAAGCATGCTTATTGTATAACTCTTCTAGAGTAAGTGCATAATTCAATACAAGTATGTTAGAAGCCCCAAACAAAACGTACCTGACTATTGCTTGAACTAAAGTAATATTTTCAAGTGTATTTGCATCTTTTATGTGAATACCACATAACAATTGTCCTGGAGTACCACTAAACCTTTTGATCATGAATACTCCAAATATTATTGATAGCAGGAAAAACAAGTATGTTGCTAATAGCTCAGCTTTATTAGTGTCAAAAGTCATTTCTGCAAAATAGAGGAAGACTAAAGTGATTCCTGTAATAGTAAGGTAATCGATAATATATGCTGCTACACGCTTAAATATTCCCACGTAGCTTAGATTTGAGTGATGTTTTTCAGGTTTGTAATCGATTACTACTGTTTTCGCAATCTTATCATGAAAAAGTTGTTTACGTTGATCAAATTTTGCAAGCATTAAAACTAAAATTGGTAAAATAAAGAACCAGTCAGAAATGTAGATGGGTAACATCAGAAGCATCTTAAGAATACTTCTTATTACTATCTGTGTTAAAGCAACATTTTCAAAAGTATTTGCATCTTTTATGTACATACCACATAGCAATTTGCCTGGAGTCCAGCCAAGTTTTGTTATCATTAATACTTCTAATATCACATATACTAATGCTCCTAACATCTCATATTGGATTGAGGAGGTTATATCGTCATGAAATACATAATTAAGAACGTCAGTAAGAGACTTTCCTGATAGTAGAAATAAAGTGAATAAGAAAAAAACTAGAAATATTATTTGATCGGCTGTATATGCTACAATACGCCTGCTAATTTCTGCATAGTTTACTTTAATATCCATTTTTATGCCTTACATAACCATCTAATGTTACCATATTAGCAATTAAACAATAGTAAAATGGGATATATTGCTATATTCCTCTATGATATGCTCTTTATTTCATATCTGAGAAAGCTTTTCTGCAATCCTGATCGAAGGAGAAGGATCTAAAACAATTTCACAAACTTCTTTTATAAAAGCCTTGCGTTGTTCTTGAGTTGTATATTTTTCAACAAGATGTTCTATAAACATATCTGTAAGCTTCTCGGCAATATGTCTACGTAAAACCTTTGCAAATTTATTTAAATTACTTGACACAATTTTCCTTATTTTTAGCGTTGAACGAAGATTTTCAATTACATCAATATTCTCCTGATTTTCGCTAATAATATCATATATTAATCTACTTACCTCTGTACAAACTTCATCAATTGTTTTACTGATTGACTGTTGCTGACCCACACCCATTTAATCCTCCTCAAGTATAATTAATAAACTACCTTTACTATGAAGCTAAATGATCGAAACAATCCCACCAAAATGCTAAATATAGCTTACTATAACACAGATATTTTTAGTGTCAATGATTTCTAAGTGAATTTGATATGAATTAAAAATCCGACAGAGAAGGTAGATCAAAGCAAACAATTAGCTTAAAGGTTTATATTCTATCGCCACTGTTCTTGCGATTTTATCATGAAGAAATTGCTTGCGCTGATCAAATATTGCATATACAAAAATTAGCATCATAGTCATAAAGATTAAGCCTGAAAATGGATCAAGCCACCATTCAGAGGTATACTTATTAAAAATTTCCCTTCTCGTGATTAGTATAGGGAAGCGAATAATTTCAACCAAGACATGCCTAATTATCGCTTGCACCAGAGTAATATTTTCAAATGTATCTGCATCTTTTATATGAATACCGCTTAACAATTGTCCTGGAGTACCACCAAATTTTCTTATCATGAATACACCGAATACTATTGATAGCAAAAAAGATAAGTAAGTACGTTTAATGAATAATTTAGATCCAGCAATGTGAAAAATTATTCCTATAAAAATCAAAGAGATTAAAGAAATTCCAATAATAACAAGACTGTCAATAATATGCGCCATAACACGTCTAGCTATTCCCGCATAGTTTGAATTTAAGTAACATTTTTCAGACTGATGCTCTATCACTACCGTGTTTGCAATTTTATCGTAAAAGGACTGATTGAATTTATTAAATGCTGCAAATATTAAAACCAAGATTGGTAAAATTAAAAACCACTCAGAGATATAGAGCATAATAAACAAAAGCGCCTTGAGACTACTTCTCATAATTACTTGCATTAAAGCAGCGTTTTTAAGTGTGCTTGCATCTTTTATATATATACCAAAGAGTAATTTTCCAGGAGTCCAGCCAAGTCTTGTTATCATTAATACTTCTAATGCTATATATAGCAAACTTTCTAGTAATGTACCTGGATCTTTTAATATTTCATATCGTTTTGACACGAGGCCTGTATCAATATCATTATCAGGAAAGACATAATTAAAAAAGTCAGCAGGTGGTTCTTCTGGTAATATAAATAAAATTAATAAAAAAAATGATGAACAACAGACTAGGAATATCGTTTGGTCTACTATATATGCTGCCACACGTTTAGTGATTCTTGCGTAATTCGCTTTAATATCCATTCTATACCTCACATGACGATTTAATATTACAATATTAGCAATTAAACAATAGTAAAAGGCAGCTTAACCTTTTTTCAAGAAGTACACTGCAAAAAAGCTATATTAATAGGAATAGATTAACCTCTTTCTAAGATTTGATATTAAAAATTGCTCCTCGGTGTTTGTTTTAATTCTATACTCTTATTAACATAAGATAAGAAAAATTATATGTGAAGTAACATATTTTTTAATCTCAAATTAAATACTTTTTTAAGAAAAATGATATCTTTAGCGTAACAAAATTTTCATTTGTTTACTTTACTCAATCTCTAAATTTGCAAAAAACACCCTATATTGTGGAGAAATAGAGAATGTTATTAACAGATTATGTAAAAATATGGGACCTTTATTGGTAAAAATTTGAAGCAAAATACCGTGTTTGTTCGATTAGTTTTTAGCGTATTTTTTATTTCATATTTTAGCTGAAAGACCTCCATTTAGTGGGTAACACTGGACTCGAACCAGCGACCACTTGCACGTCAAGCAAGTGCTCTACCAACTGAGCTAATTACCCGCAACATAGTATAGTTCCGCAATGAAATGAAAGTCAATTACTTCCATGTGCAGTGCAACTATTAAAGACGAATGATATTTTATTCCCTGGTGAGCGTTCTATTTTATTTTCCATTTCTAGTTCTAAAAGAGCCATTAAAGCCATATCTGGGGACAATCCACTTTCTAATATCAGCTCATCTACATTGATAGGTACAGAATTGATATGATTAACTATAATTGATTTTGCTTGCTGCAATTCCTCTTGCTCTGGATGAGCAACTATATTAAAAAGGTTTCTCTGACTTTGTGGTAAATTAAACCTGAAACTTTCTATTATATCATCAACAGATTCCACAAGTTTAGCACCGTTTTTAATAAGATAATTGCTACCACTACAACGCAAATCTAGAGGAAAACCAGAAACAGCAAAAACTTCTCTTCCTTGATTTAAAGCAAAGTTTGCTGTAATCAAAGAACCGGAGTGCCTTGATGCTTCAACTACTACTACGCCTAATGATAGACCAGATATAATGCGATTTCTCTGAGGAAAATATTGTGGTTTAGGCTTTGTTGCAAAAGGAAGTTCAGTAATGACTAGCCCACCATTTTTAACAATTTGCTCATATAAATCTATATTTTCTCTCGGATATACTACATCAATTCCACTTGCTACTACAGCAATTGTGGGATAATTTTTATATATTACGCTATTTGCAGCAGTATCGATTCCTTTTGCAAGCCCAGAAACGGTTATAAAACCAGCTTCGCTTAGGTCAAGGGCAAGTTTATTAGCAAATTTTCTGCCATTTATTGAGGAATTACGTCCACCGATTATAGCAATCATTTCCTGATTTAATAACGATGTGTCACCCAATGCAGCGATTACAGGAGGACAATCTAAAATATTTCTTAAAAGACCCGGATAATCTGGATCACATGCAGGTATAATTTTGGCTCCTGTTTTTTCTGTCATGCTGATTTCTTCTTGTGCATCCTGGACGCTGTATATCTTTTTGTTTTCCAATCTATTTAAATATTCGTGTGCCTTATTTAAGGAGTCACATGCTCTTAATAAACTGAAGAACTTCATTGTTCCAACAGTTCTTGCTAAACTTAACCATATTGCTAGCTCTTCGTTATTTAATTTATTTATCTTCATAAAAGAATTTACATCTACTAATACAACTATAACTTTATCAGAAAAACGTTTAACAAACCATTAATATCTAAATTATAATATATTTTAATAAATATTTCATCAAAAGACTTGAATTTCTCACTAACCTGATGTACCTAAAATTATATAGACATGTAATGCTTATGACACATTTTACAACAGACAAGTGCATAAAGTGTAAGTACACCGATTGTGTAGAAGTCTGTCCAGTTGACTGCTTTTATGAAGGCAAGAATATGCTTATAATTAATCCTGATGAGTGTATTGACTGTGGTGTTTGCATACCTGAATGCCCAGTAGAAGCAATTGTAACTGATGATTCAGTAAAAGATATTCTAGATATAGATGAAGAGTCGCTTACCAACGAGCAAAAGATCTTTAAGTTGTTTTATAATATCAACAAAGAATATTCACAGAAATGGCCAAATATTACAGCTAAAAAGGAACCACTAGATACAGCCGAAGAATATAAACACAAAAATGATAAGTCAAAATATTTTATAGAGAATGAAGAATAAAACCGCTAAGTTAGCCAAAGCTACAGCAATTTTTTTGTTTATTGAGTAATATTCCGAATTTTTGTCGCAGTTTTTTGTATATCTTCATGTGAAAGTGGTATTAAACCGAGTCTAAATAGGTAGCCACTGTCAATATTGATAGCATCCATAATTTCTCTTATGAACTCCTTCAACCCATGAACATTTCCTATGTGATCTTTTTTTATATAAAGATATAAAGGCCTTGCTAGTATATATTTCCCTGACGATATGTTTTCGTAAGTCGGCTCAATGCCCGCAATTGTGCTTCCTTGTATTTTATCTTGATTCCTCATTAGAAAACTAAAACTAAATATCCCCAGAGCATTTCTATTGCTGTTAAGTTTTTGTATTATGATGTTTTCATTAGCACTGACTTCAATATATCTACCATCATCTCGTATACTACTGCATACTTTTTTTCTTTCTTCATACTTCGGATAAGTTTGCTTAAAAGGTTTAGAATTCATACATGAGTATTGATCAAGCATAATAGATGCAATTAAGGTTTCATAAGTACCAGAATTACGATATGGACCGTAGATTTCAATATCAGTCTTTGGAAAGATCTTGTTCACATCAGACCAATAATTTCTATTGTTCTTTACTAGCTCGTTATTTTTCTGTGAGTATGCTGATAAAGCATTAAATAAATCCTTTTTCGTGAAATCAAACTTATAACTCTGATTTGAATTAGCTACAACGATTCCATCATATCCTATTATTATTTCCGCTATTTCATCAACCTTATTCCTCTTACATAGCTCTCTTTCTACTTCTTTTATGGGGCGAGATGATGTAGCAATATCCGGAGTATCTTCTCCTAAACCAGAGCAGAACATTTTAAAACCTGCTCCGCTTCCTACCGATTCTACAACGGGGGTTTTAAAGGAAAATACACGATTAAATTCTTCAGCTATGAATGATATAAACGGAAAGACTGTTGAAGATCCAGCAATCCTAATGTAATTTCTAGCTTCAGTATTAAAAAAGGGAGCGCAAACTAGAAAAATTAAGGCAAACGCAAAGTTTCTGAACATTACTTTTTATATTAAAACATAAACCAATTATCATAGAAAAAGATAAAACTGAAAAGACTTAATTTGTTTAAGAAAAGTTATACACACACCCTGCGATACCAAAACAAATACATAGGTATTCCACTTACAGTAAATAAACTTGCTACTGATAAGATACTCATAGAGGTTTCAGAGATCACCCAACAGCAGAAGGCTGCAGCTATTATCCCGATTAAAAGCTGGTGATAGAATCTGGCAAGCTTGATTAAAGCTAAGCTGCATATTAAGTAAACAAATAAAAATGATACTACAGAGAAATCAATAATTGATGTGATTTGCTCAGCAAAATTGTTGCTTGATGTGAGCATAAGTAAAATCAGAGTGCCGAGTGAACTAGTGATTATTCCCCAAAAAGGAGAGCCATGTTTATTTTTCTTAGCAAAAAATTTTGGCATAAGTTTATCTTCAGCGAGACCTAAGGCAACTTGTCCACTTGCTAAAACCCAAGCATTCAGACAGCCAATGCAAAATATAAAGGCAACAATAGAAATTCCTAGGTGCCAATTACCGGCCAGCATAATTTTTATTGCATCTACGTATGGCGCCTTTGAATTGACTAAATCATTGCCATTTATGAGTCCCATAATTGTAAGACTATTAATGAAATATATAATAGCGACACAGACTGTACCAAACACTATTGCTCTTGGAATTGTCTTAGCTGGATTATTCACTGATCCTGCAGGTGCTGTTGCTGATTCAAGACCAACAAAACACCACATGGTCAGAAGCGTTGATCGCGCAAGAATTTGCGATAGTGTAAGGCTCGAGACTTCATTACTTACAACAAAGTTGCTCTTGTCAAAATAAAATAAAGCAATTGCTGGAATTAAGAGTAAAACTGCGATTTTGATGATTGTTAATAAAAGTTCAACATATCCAGCAGTAGTGATTCCTCTCAGATTTATTAACGTAATAGTTGCAAGTAGTAGTATTTCTAAAAACAGGTGCATGTCACTATGAAAAAGCTGCGTAAGGTAACCAACGCTTGCAACCACTACAGCAGTTGTACTTACCCAAGAGATTACCCAGTACGTCCATCCAGTGAAGAAAGCTGCTGTTGGACCAAAAGCATGTTTTACATATGCGTGCGGCCCACCTGTCTCAGGAAATTTTGCACAGAGTAAGGCAAACACCAGAGCAAGGGATATAGCACCTGCACTAGATATCAGCCAACTTGTTAAACTATAAATGCCATAAGGAGCAAGACTAATTGGCAACATAAAGATGCCAGAGCCAATTTGACTGCTGATTACTAAAGCAAAAATTGCTAAAAAACCTATTTTATTTGACACTCTCATCATATTAAAAGTTAAAAATATAATTTTAATTAAAAAAATTCAATAAATTTCCCAACTTCCAGTTTAAAAACGGAATTTTTTTTGTAGTATTAGAACAGGCAACCCACTGATAGTAAATAAGCTTGCTATTAGCAAAGTATACATAGGAGTTTCAAATATTATCCAGCAGCAAAAGGATATTGCTATCACTCCGATCAGAAGCTGACAATAGTGCTTTTCTTGTATGACGAATTTCAAAAAAGCAACGGTACACACTAAGTAGACAAATAAAACTGATATTACAGAAAAGTCGATAATTGATGTTATTTGCTCGGCAAAATTGTTATTTGATGTAAGGATAAGTAGAACTAAAGTACCAAATGCACTGGTTAATATTCCCCAAAAGGGAGAATCGTATTTATTTTTCCTAGCAAAAAATTCTGGCATAAGTTTATCTTCAGCAAGACCTAGAGCAACTTGCCCACTTGCTAAAACCCAAGCGTTGAGATTACCAACACAGACAATAAATGCAATAAAAGAAATAATTAAGTACCAATTACCAGGAAATATGATCCTTATTGCATCCACATATGGTGCTTTTGAATTGACTAAATCATTGCCATTTATGAGTCCCATGATTGCAAGGCTATTAATAAAATATATTACTGCAACAGAGATTGTGCCAAGTACTATTGCCCTTGGTATTGTTTTAGCTGGATTATTAACCGATCCTGCAGGTGCTGTCGCTGATTCAAGACCAACAAAACACCACATGGTCAAAAGTGTTGATCGCGCAAGAATTTGCGATAGTGTAAGGCTAGCCACTTCACTGCTTACCATGAAATTGTTCTTATTAAAGTGGAATAAAACTACTGCTGGAATCAAAAGCAACGCTGCAGTCNGCAGTCTTAATGATAGTTAACAAGAGCTCAACGCGTCCAGCCGCAGTTACTCCTTTGAGGTTTACTAATATGATTATTACAAGTAACAATATTTCCCAAAATAGCCGTATATTTTGATGAAAAAGTGGACTAAGGTAACCAATAGTTGCAACTGTTACGGCAGTCGAACTCACCCACGAGATTACCCAATACGTCCACCCAGTGAAAAAAGCTGCCGTTGGACCAAAGGCATGTTTTACATATGCGTGCGGCCCACCTGTCTCGGGAAATTTTGCACAGAGCAAGGCAAACACCAGAGCAAGGGATATAGCACCTGCACTAGATATCAGCCAACTTGTTAAACTATAAATGCCATAAGGAGCAAGGCTAATTGGCAACATAAAGATGCCAGAGCCAATTTGACTGCTGATTACTAAAGCAAAAATTGCTAAAAAACCTATTTTTTTGTGCACAATGTTTTTAATATTTCTATAAAGACTAACAGTCAATCTAAAAATTTCAATATGCTTCTCCGAGAACGGTAAATACAGTTCATAGAAGCAGCACTTTAATTTATAACTCTCCTACAGTGATATGTAATCGTTAACACAACTATTAAAATAGTCAAATACAGTAGAGCTTGTTATTCCACTGTATTTGTAAAACGTCATTACTCTATATAATGTTGTTTTGATTTATAAGCTCATTTTCACTTGATGAAGCGTTCTGCTCCCATGGATGATTTGTTGTCACTATCTCTTCTTTTATATTTGTTCCGAATATATTTTGACTAACTTGGCTTATTTTTTCATCCATTCCTTGTATCCCCTCCTCTAACTTTTCTTGTAAATTGTCTTTTACCTCTTTTAATTTAATAGTAAGATCATTTAAATTACCTTCTAATGAGCTCTTTACTGTACTCAATAAGTCTGTTGCCATAGTAATTCTCCTTAAAATCATTGAACAATGAGTTTGTTCTACATGAAGAAGGTAAAAAAAATATGTATGGTCTATGAACACTAAATTATTTAATATTGACTTTGTGGTGATACTTATTTTAACTATTAACTATAGCTATAGTTAATAGAAATGGCTTTCTTTTTTTACTTTTTTGCAGCTTTGAGTGTCTTGTCTGCCGTGTGTGTAATTAGTGCGAAAAATCCTGTACACTCAGTATTATTTTTAACTCT